GAGATTTTCCAGCTAAAGTCAGGTCAATGCTGCTCAGGATTACAACACAAGTGATACCTTTGTTTGAATCAGCTTCATCGAGGTTTATGAAGGATTCCTTGTCAGAGCAGATTCTTGGTTTGATGGACAGGTCTATTCCCAGCTCACGAAGTTTATCCAGCTTGGATTTCCTCACTTTTTCAGGCTGTGCCACCAATCCAGGCCCTGCCTGGTGACTGTTTGCTTCACCTGGTACGTCTGGTGCTGTTTGGCCTCTTTGCTCAAGGGCATCTCCAGCTGCTGGAGGAATTTCACTCTCCTTTTGCTCACCACCATCAGTGCTCAGGAGGTTGGAGAGCTGCTGCTCCTCTGTGTTAGCACCAGTTGTTACAGTCCCAACTGCACAGGAACCCTCATTATCCTGCCTGGGCTGCTCAGCACAGTCTTCTGGCAAGTTCTTCCCCACAGCAGCAAGAGGCTCATTCACAGCAGCATCAACATCTCTGCCAAGGCTCCTTTCTGGTTCAGCAGCTGCTGATTGATCACCTTCCACTGGCCCCTCTTTGCAATCCCTGCTCAAGTTCCCAGTGGCTGCAGATTCCTCATTTAGGGGCAGCTGGTATTTTGAGGACCTAACGAAGGCAGAAAGAAATGTATCATCCATGGCTGGTGTGAAAGGGAGCAGAGGGTGAAAACAAACCCAGAGAGAAAGAAATCATTTTCCAATTATTGCCATCAATGTGTAGGAAGAGGTGAAGGACAGAAATCTGGAAAACCACTTGGAGAACAGAAGGAAGTGTAAAGACTTTGTACTAGTTCCATTATCACAGTACCAAATTCCTGAGGGATCCTGTGATTACTGTAGCTTCAGTATTTTACTACTCATTACTCAAAAAAACCCCACCAAAACATTGGGGTCCAGCCTAAACCCCAGTAAAGCAACTTTGCAAGAGGAAATTCATTCATCTTAGTTACTCCTGGGCTCTGATTACTCCAACAGTAGCACTGTGTCACGACTGCAGCAGTGCTTTATGCCAACAGTGATATTCTCCAAATGGCCAGGTGTTCAAGGAATTCAAGGAGCCTAACAAAGCCTGAAAAAAGAACCATGAGGAAGGTTTAAGTCCTTACTTGAGCAAGGCCATGGCATTTCCTTGGCAGGCTGGTCGAGGTCTGCGCTTGTAGAAGTCGTGGATGGTTTTTGTCTCAGGCACGTGGTATGGGAGAGACACGGATGATTCTGCCAAAGAAAGGAGGTGAGAGAAAACTCAAAACATCCAAGACATTTATTTGATAACAAGTGTCTTTGTTTTCATTAGTTACAAAAATACCTTTAACAGCATCGAGCACCCTTCGACCCTCAGTAACTCCTGCCAGGTCAAAGGAGGCTCGAACCTTTTGGGTAAATCCTTTCAATTTCTGCCCCGAATTTCTGAACAGTTTATACCCCTCTACACACCAAGAATTAAAGTTTTACCTCTGATAAGTCGTTGGGTCTCACTGTGCAGTTGTTTAATGGCCTCTTTACTTAACCTTGCTGCTTTCCGCTCCTTAGGGGAAGAAAAGAAAGGTTTCTGAAGTCAGGAAACAAAACACGGGGCTCTCTTTCTACTTCTTAAATAGCTTACTTTTCCCTTCAAACAGAAAGGAGTCAGAATAAAGCAGCTAGTTTAAAAAAAATAGATTAAAAATAGCAAACCAACAAAACCATTGGACACTGAGCACACATTTGTGTCACAAAAAACAACACAGAGCTTTAAAAAGAATACCAGCTCACCTTCCTCTTTGGTTCCTTTAGCACAGGCTCCTCATCCTCCTCATCAAATACATGTTTGTAGCCCTCACCCTCCAAAAAACGTTCCTTGTTCTACAGGGCATAAAAATTCAATTATTTATCTTGATACAAAGGCACTACCAAGGGCAAACCAGTGAAAAATAACTGTACAGAACCACCACTGGTCAGCAAAACCACCACAAATCCCACATAATGGCAGATTTCCAAAGGTCCTGCCCCAGTGTGATCTTTATAACTTGCCAGGACAACACCCCTCCATCTTTAGGAACAAAAACCAAAAGACTGTTCTCCCCTCTGCCACAGTGATACAACTCCACCATGGTCAAAGAGAGTTTTAGTACCTGCTCATGTGCAAATTCCTCACTAAAAAACAATAATCATGGAATGGTTTGGGCTGGAAGGGACCTTAATGCCCGTCCAGTGCCACCCCCTGCCATGGGCAGGGACACCTTCCACCAGCCCAGGTTGCTCCAAGCCCCATCCAACCTGGCCTTGGACACTCCCAGGGATGGGGCAGCCACAGCTTCTCTGGGCAACCTGTGCCAGGGCCTCCCCACCCTCCCAGGGAAGGATTTCTTCCCAATATCCCATCTAACCCTGCCCTCTGGCAGTTTGAAAGAGAGTATATTTACAATAATCTTGTACCACAATCAACTGTTACCTTGTGTTTTTTCACTTTGTTTTTCATTGCTGCTCGTATGGATTCCAGGGACTCCTCATCCTCGGGGGGGTGATCATCCTCATCTTCTAAGCCATTATCAAAGAGCTCTTTGTCATCCAGAAGACATCCACTGTCATTGAAGGGAAACCTCTCACCACCATCCACCTGCTTCCAGAAGAGTGAAGTATTTGTGTGACTCATTTCAGAAGGTCCCTTTGGTTCTTTGGCACTAATTTAAGATGACGTTAAATCCTCAAGTGTTAGATGCAGATTGAACTGCAAATTTAATCTAATTTAATTTAATCTAATCTGCAAAATTTGCAGATTAGACTTGTCTGGTGCTCTGTGGATCCCTGTGGATCCCACACCTGCTGCAGGAATGTGGACAGCACAACACTGAAGCACTGGAACAGAACAACCACAAGCAACAATAAATTGAACTTAGTTGAGAAAATATCTGAGATTTTCTGCCAAAAAACCCACCTCTGCCCCAGGCTTCTTTTCTTTTTTCAGCTGTTTAAGGACCTCCATTCTTTTTTCCTTCTCCTTCCTTCTTCTTGATTTCCCTACAGCTTTTCTTTCTGTCTCCTCTTCAACATCGTGTTTGTGTTTCCTGTAATTTCTCCCAGATTTTAGGGGTCTCTCCGCTCCCAGCTCACCCTGAGCCAAGCCAGGCATCCTGCCTGTTTCCAGGTTTTCAGTCTGTAGCTGGTCACCAGTGTCACTGTCCTCACTGTCCAGCAGAGCCTGGTGAATCCGACTGGATTTCTTGTTCCTCTGGGCAGCAACGTTCTCCTTTTCCTCCCCATTTCCCTTGTCTCCACCCAGAGTCTCCTCCTGCAGGGACGAGCCTCTCTCCTCTCCATCTTCACTCTCACTGTCCTGGAGCACCTTCTTGCTTTTTCCTTTCTTACGTACAAAAATCTCTTCTTCTGAATCTGATGAAATACATGGCAACAAAACAGGAAATCCCACAAGTTAATTAACAAGCAGTCAGAGTTCCAAATTTCACGGGTGTCGCCATCTACACCAAATCAGCTTGAACTCAACTTTTCAAAACCCACTTCTCCCCGTAGTGTAGCATTTAATTAAACCCAAACTGATGTTAAAGGTTTTTAACCTATTAAAAAAAAAAGGCAATGCTGAAAATCCTTCACTGATGGTGACTTGCCTTGAAAGAGTAATAAAACCCCAGAGATAAAGTAAAAGTACAGGGGTCAAAAAATCATAAAAGATAGGGAATAAGCAATTAAGGCACTCACATCCCATTCATTATTTTCCTTTCTGTACCTCAAAAAACGCTTTTCAGAGATTTACAGATGCCTGAGCAACAAAAAGGAGTTTGGATTCCTGCAGGCCAAGCAACGGCAAGTTCCTAGAAAGGCATTTATGAAACAAAAAAATGCAGCGTTGTAGGGAAAAGCAGATTCTGGGAAGGTTACAGACCTCTGTCCTCACAGGAGGCTGAGCCCTGGCCCGTCTCACAGCTGCCCTGGCCACTGTCAGAGTCGCTGTCCGGGGCCCTCTGCAAGTCGGGGTTTAAATCTGCCAACGGCAACTACAAAGCAAAACACAATTGATCTCGTCATGGCAAACACTGGTTATGTGGTTTGACTCCGAACTCATTTCAAAACCTGGCCAACCTCACACACAACTGAATACACACCCATTACCGTGTTATATTTTAAATATTGGTATCTACACGTTTACTGATATTTATTAATGGTATTTACCATATTTATCAACGCACATGGCTATTTACAAAAGGGGAGGTGACACTACGTCAGCTTTCGCTACAATTTAAAGGCGAGTTTGCGCAGAAGAATAACAGACTCCACACCGGGCGATGGGATTTTATTCAGACACGATATTTCATTATTCGCTGATTTTCCCCCAAAGCCCCCGGCCCGGGCCCCCCCCGTCATGCACCGCGCCCTCAGGGACAGGCCGCGCGCGGGGCTCCCGGCGTGCCCCGCGGCCGGAAGAGCGGGCGCGGGGCACGCCGGGAGTTGTAGTCCGCGAGGAGCACCAAGCCCGGTGGCGGCGCGGGACCGAGGCCGGCGGGCAGGAATGGCTATAGCCACCAGCCCCCATACCTGTACCGCCACTGGCACGGGCACCGCTACCGCCACCTCCTCGCTGCCCCTCTGCCAGAGGAGCCGCGAGGCCGCAGGCAGCCGCCAGCAGCCGCCCGTCCGCGCAGAGCGGAGGGGAGCGGCAGCACTCACCTCGGCAAGGCCCGCCGCTGTCGCCGCTCCTGGTGCCACCGCCATGTCCCGCCCGCGCTCCCGCCGCCCGGGAACCGCTTCGAGCCTTCGCGCGCTGCCTTGGCCCCGCCCCGCGCCCCGGGACAGCCAATGGCCGCGAGGAACGGCCCCGGCAGCCCCGCCCCTCACAACGCTATTGGGCGGGTTTCCCGCGTAGCCCCGCCCCCTCGACCGGGACCAATCGCTGCTCGCGCTGCGAGTGCGCCCGGGCTCTGTGGCGCCTCCTGGCGGCGGGGGCGCTGCCCGCGCGCGGGAGCCGTGAGGGGCCGTGAGGGGCCGTGAGGGGCCGTGAGGGGCCGTGAGGGGCCGTGAGGGGCCGTGAGGGCAGTTACTGACGTTGTGGGACGGGGGGGCAGCATTTCAAATTTCACATCGTGTCTATGGGTTAAACGGAGCCTATGTCCCTTTTTTTTACCTCTGTTGCCTAAAAGCGGCACTTAAAAGAAACTTCTGAGGCTCAATTCGTGAGTTTCAGAAGCCAGGCATTCCTTTACCTCGACGCCCTGCGCGGCCGCAGCACGACGGGTGCCCTGGGAATCATTTCACCAAAGTGCACACCGAGGTATGTTCACTGCAGCGTATATGTTAGCATGACATGATTATTCACTGTCCATTCTCCACATTCCTCTTACATATTCATGACATTTCCCAACGCAGATATGCATGTCCTTATAAGGCTTCTGAGGGTCTTCATCACGGACCTTGGTGGTCTTCTCTATCTGAAGCCTCCCTCAGGTTCTAAGTGACCGCTTTGTAAACTTCTTTAAGACAATGCACATGGTTAAAAAGTAACTGGGTGTTGCCTTGCTGGCTGCCATGTGCTCATGGATATTAGATACACACAGCTGTAAGTGCCGGCACTGTTCCATTTATGGAATAAAAGATATCCATCTTCCATTGGTGTCTGCACAGCCGCGCTCTGGGCCAACCCCATCAAGGATTTTGTGAAGGCTTGAACCTTTTGGGTAAATCCTTTCAGTTTCTCCCTTGAATTTCTCAATAGTTTATACCCCTCTGCATACAGAGAATTTAAGTTTTGCCTCTAATAAGTGATTGGTCTCACTGTGTAGTTGTATGATGGCTTCTTTTCTTAACCTTGCAGCTTTCCGCTCATTAAGGGGAAGAGCCACAGTTTTGTGAGGGACAAGGAGCAGATGAACTGATCTACCACGACAGTTCCCATGGAGCCAACGAGCCTGAGAATGAAGGAAGTGAGAAAATCAAATGTCCATGAAACCCACCACAACCACCACAATTCTGCTTTCCTGTAGCTGCTGCAGGAGCTACAGTAATTAATTTAATAATTAGTGTTTAGTAACAGGGGACAGATGCTGGCTCTGCACAAAAACACCTCCTCAAAGCTGTGCTCTCATTGCTGCGTCAGGAATAGTTCAGAGTCAGCTGACAAGAATAAGGTGGCAAAAAGATTGGCCACAAGCCTTATTAGGTAATTTCTGCTCCCAACTTCTTACTCATACCTGGCACACAGAGGCAACGGAACAGGTAAATGTTTGCCATTAAGGAGGTTCTGAACTAACCACAGACTTTCAGCACTTAAGACATTCATGCTTTAAAAACTGGCTTATGAATCTATTTTTTATTAAACAACATACTCCTTCCCCAGCTTGTAGCAGGTGAGGTGTTTAGAAGCAAATATTCAGAACAAATCCTGTCATAACTATGGCCTGTCATTCCCAAATCCAGTCTTGCTCCTGGAAATGTGGCTGTTTTCAATATAAGGGTGGGTTAACATGTAGAAATGAGGTTCTGACCACTCTGGCAGTCAGGATGTCTCAATACGTATGGAATATTTATCAAGTTAATTGAATTTATAATACTTTAAATATAGGCTTTGCTTGTCATACTCAGCATCTTACAGGATTGAGCCTTTGTATTGCCAATTTTCTTGAGGTAGAGATTATATCTTTGGTGAGTTTTTTTAAGTACTATTTGTGTAGCCCTACATACATGTGTTTTATACATAGATATGCTGAACAATAGCATGGAAATGTTGCCAGAGACCGCGGGGTTTGTTGCTGGTCTTGTAAAACTGGTGTTTCCCTCAAGTGTTCATCAGCTGCTGTCAGGGGGATTATATGAGAATCCCAGATCTATATGAGAGTCTCCGATTTCATTTCATTTTAAAATAGGTTTTTGATGTTTCAACTTGGAAAACATCAACCCTGCAGGTTATAAAAGGCAAATAAAGTGGACTCGGCATTTATTATTTATAAAATGTTTTGACTTCTGACCTCCCGGTGAGTCAGCAGAGGGTTGTTGGCTGAACAGAACCCGGGGGGGGTGCGCGAGGGAGCAGCTCCCTGAAACAGCGTGAGCTGCTTAGAAAGGCCAGGAGTCCCCAGCCCCTTTATTTAAGGGCACTTGGCTGCAGATGTTGGCTTTCAGAAAAGTACAAATGTATTGTCTTTGAGCCCAATGCCTCGACGGGGCTGGGGATCCTCTGTGCTGAGGGGGAGTGACCGGCATGGGGGCCACGGGGAGGTGACCCCCAGGAGCTGTGGGGCACCAGGTCCCAGGCAGGTCACCTGCAGCAGGTGGCACAGGAACACATCCAGGTGGGTTTGGGATGTCTCCAGAGAGGGAGACTCCCTGGACAGATGTTCTGCCCTCCACGGAAAGAAGTTCTGCCTCATGCTGAGGCGGAACTTGTGTTTTAGTTTATGGCCATTGCTCCTCGTCCTGTTGCTGCACAAAGGAAAAGAGCTTTTTCAGAGGTGCCCAGCAACAGGACGAGGAGCAGTGGCCATAAACTCAAAACACGTCCTCAACATGAGGAAGAACTTTTTTCCATGGGGGATGGAGAGGATGGGTGCAGAGTGTCCCTCCTGGAGACATCCCAACCCCAGCTGGTTCCTGTGCCACCTGCTCCAGGTGACCCTGCCTTGGCAGGGGGGTCAGACTTGGTGACGCCCCCAGAGGTCCCTTCCGACCCCCCCAGATATCCCGGGATTCTGTGATTCCGACCTGTCACCTGTTGCGGCCGCGGGGCCGCGCGGGCGGCGTGCGCGCTCCCGCGGGCGGCGCGTGCGCGAGCCGGCGGCGCCGGGCAGCGCGGAGAGGCCTCTTCCTCCTCCTCCTTCTCTCCCTCCTCCTCCTCCTCCTCACCCCCCGTTCCCGGGAGCGCGCCCCGGGCGCGTGCTGGCGGCGGCGGGGGCGCGCGCGGGCTCGGCGGGGGCGCCGCGCGGGGATTGTTCGCGCCGCCGCTCGGGGAAGCGGAACGCGGGGAGCGCTCCCCGCCGCGCCCCCGCTGCCTCCTCCTCATCCACCTCCTCCTCCTCGTCCGCCGCCCCCCGCCCCGCCGCCCCCGTGTCCGCGCCGGGCGCCCACCCCGCCGCCAATATTCCCGAGATCAAGCGCTACGCGGCGGCGGCGGGGCCGGCGGCGGGGCCCGGGGCGGGCGGCGGGGCCGGCGGCGAGAGCAGCGAGGCCGCCGCCACCGCCGCCATGGAGGCGCTGGGACCCGGTGAGAGCCGCGGGGGGGGCGCGGGGCCGCGGCCTGCCGGGCCGTGGCAGCGGGGGAAGGGAGGGAGAGAGGCCGCGGGCCCGCCGGGGCTCCCCGGTGACACCGGGCCCCGCTCGCAGCCGCCGCCGCGGAGGAGCCGCGGCGGGTCCGAAACTTTGCGCGGGGGGTTCGCGGTGCCCTCGCGGCCCCGGGGCTGCCGGGGGGACTCGGTTCGCCCTCGGCGGGGTGAGCGGGACAGCGAGGGGACGGGGACAGGCGGGGCTGTCACAGCGGTGCGAGCCCCGCAACCTGTGTGATGATAAGTTTTACATTTGACATTGAGCCGTTGCTGAGAGTTTAAGGCGATGCTGTCTGAAAATAGGGTTGTTTATTTCTTTAACAAACTTGGTGGGGTTTTGCATGTGGCATTTTCCTGCTCGTACCTTATTCCAAGATTATTCTTCCATCAAATGCCTGCAGGATGTATTTCTTTCCCTCAGTGGCCTGCACACCTGACCCATCGAGTTCCCATTCAAACGATTGGTACAATCGAAGTGGCGTTAATTTTGGTGTGATAGGAAATGTTTTTTGACACAGAGGTGCAATTCCAGAAGAATCCAGAGTTTGAGGTAGCGAGGGCTGACTCAGAGCCTGCTGTATGTGTGTGATGTATCGTGGCCTCCCTGACTTACAGCTGGAGAAGCAGATCCTCTTTCAGTTTTGAAAACGGCTTCCTGTCTGAAGCAACTCGGTTGAGGTGCTTAGAATGTAATTGTCATGGGGTAGAAGAAACTGAAATACAGCAGCACATGCAGCCCTAGTCAGGCTGATCAGGTAAAAATCCTGTGACGCCAGGGCAGCCTGGCTTCAAACGGGAGAACAGTTTTTAGCTGCTTCTCTGGAATCCTTTGGGAAATAACTTTAGGAAGGAGGAGAAGTAAGATTTATCTCCTTTGGTCAGAACCGAGGGCAGCGCTGCTGTGCCTGTTTGCAGAACTTGTCAGTGCTGAGGGAGGAAAATAGGTAAATATAGTTGTCATTTAATCTCTCGCAGGAGGTCAGTGCCTGCACTTCCTTCAGACTAATTAGCATGGGATTAGTGGATCATCTCTCGTATCCAAATAAGCACAGCAAACTTTGATTGCCCTCGATGATTCACACTTGTCAAGACAGCTGTAGTTTTTTTAAGCACCAGCTGTACCCCACAACTGGTGTGACTGTGGTGCTGTGAGCTGCTCCGGGACGGAGGGTGCAGAGCCCGGAATGTGTCCTGAGGGGTGTCTGTGGCCCTGACGGCCCCTGCCACTGTGGCTTTGGGGAGCTGACACGGCAGTGGGCTCCAGCTGCTTACATGCTCCGTGTTCCTTCTGCTTAAAAACATTCCAGGGCTGGTGTCCTCAGATTGATAATTTTATTTGGTAATGCAGTAACCAGTGGATGGCTTGTAAACCCAGTGTGGAATCTCCTTAAATTTGGTCCTGGGTTCAGTTTACGGTTGTGCTGAAGTTTATCCAAGTAGGAGTTACCTACCTCTCTACCCTCCTGGTCTCACCTCTGAGCCTTTGACTTACATGGATGCTGTCAGGTCATGATACTACACATGCCCTAATTTTTATGATTGGTTTATTACTGAGTTCTTGTGATACTTTTCCCCCTCTCCTTTGCTAGTCTGCAACAGAGGGAAGACACTTTGATCACACTGAGCACTGGCAGATATAGCCAAACCCACGAAAATATACCAGTGCCATTTGCTTTATGTGCAGTGTCAACTGAGGCTGTGATCGATTTAAAAAAACAGTCAGTTTAATCTTGTTAACATGGTATCTCAGATCTTAACACTTTGAGGAAGGTAACTAAAGGTTTCCCTAGTGACCAGCTTGCATATGAGTAACATTTCCAGACCTCTAAGAATTTCCTCCGTAGAGCTGTTCCTGGAGCTCTTTTATCCAAATAAATTATCTCCACATCTTTGAGGAGTCCATGCCTGTTTTCTCCTTTACTTCTCCCTTTCTTCTATTTAGAAGAAAGTGTAAACCTTTCCTCACTCCTGTGTTTGTGTTGGAATTTTAAATTGGATCATTAAGATCTGAAGTTTATAACAAAAACAATGAGAAAATGTGGCTTGTGTGGCTGCTGGTTTGGTTTAGAAACGGAGGTAGGGATGTATTTATCTTTACATTACATGAAAATACATAATATCTGCATGGTGCATTCCGTCTTGGAACTCTCATGAAGTTCATAACCACAGTCATGGATAAATGCCACTAAAATTTTAAGAATGAATTATGGTACCAACCTGCACATGCTTTAGGGAACACGTTTTTTCCCAGGAAGTTCCGAGCAGCTGGAAGGCTGAGCCTCTTGGAACACCTGTGTTTGCAACCTCAGAAAGCTGCTGGAGATTTCTTCCAGTCAGAAAGTCACCCAAAGCCCTGAGAGGTGCACGGAGTGAGCCATCCCACCTCACATGTGTTTATTGACTTCCCAGGGCCCCCAGCCAGCCTCTTCCAGCCGCCCCGCCGCCCAGGCCTGGGCACTGTTGGGAAACCCATCCGCCTCCTGGCCAACCACTTCCAGGTGCAGATCCCCAAGATTGATGTTTATCACTATGATGTTGATATCAAACCAGAGAAACGCCCCCGAAGAGTCAACAGGTAGGAGTTGCTTAATAAAGATTTATTAGTTGACATAGGAGTATGTTCCTGAATGTAAGGAAACTGTACGTCCTTGGAATTCTCCATCTGCTAAAGGCCTGTTTCTTTCTCTTCTGTGATCAGCTTTTAGTGAACTGTACTGTTCTCCTTGTTTTTATGAAGATGCGTTGCAAGTGGCCTGTAATCTGGAAGGCTTTGGGAAATGTACTGAGTGTTGAACTCAGGCTGGTTTTATTTTACAGTCTACAAGCGAATGTCCCTGATAATTGTTCCACAGTCTGTTACTCAAACCTGTGTAGCAGCTGTGGGGAGGGAATTCAGCTTGTAGGTTTTGGAGTCCACACATGGATGCTTTGTCAGTGGAACCAATCCATGGAGCACTCCCACCCACCCCGAGGCAGGTGCTTGGATCTGCTCCTGTGTGTGAACAGCTCTCCAGGTTCCTCTGCCTGTTTCAGCTGTAGCTCTGCTGACAATACAGATACCTGTGCAGTGTGTGACA